TAATAGCTAATAGCTAAATAATTACTAATAGTAAGATAATAAATAAGTAAATACCTAAGTTAATAGCTAATAGCCTATTAATTAATTTTTTAATAGCTAATAGCCTATAAGCTAGTAACTTACTAAGAACTAATAGTTCTAAAGTAATAAGGAGAGTAATCCCTTATACCTTATCTTATTGTTATATAATTAATTTATAAGACGTTACTAAGTGTAAAAAGGTGTTTAATTCCTAAGTAACTATAGCTAGCCTATTAGGTAATCTCTAGCTAGTAGTAACCTTATTTAAAGGCGTTATAAAAAGGTATTATCTTACTATATATATAGGTAGTTAGATTATACTAAAGACTTTATTTAAGGCTACTTTCCTTATAAGTCTTACTTTATAGTAAAAGATTATAAACTATATATAAAGTAGCTTATAAGTAATAATATAGTCTAGTATATTATAAAGTTAACTAATAGGTAAAAATTACTACCTTTAGCTAAAGCGTACTTAAGGCTACTTAATTAACTATATAACGCCTAATAGGTATAATAATTATAAAGACGTTACTAGTAAATTACTAGTATATAATAAAAAAGTTACTAGACTTTATAAGCTAATAGGTATATATTAGAAGTTATTACACCTTTTACTAATCTATAGATAGTTAAAAAGCTACTTATATAAAAAGTAATTTAAAAATACTAAAAAAGTGTATTTATATAGGCATAAAATATTAAAATCTTAAGTAATAGTACTATAAGTAGTAGCTAAAAGGTATTATATCCTTAGCTTCTATTAGGTATATACCTATAAGCTTAATAAATATAGTTAATTAACTAAATTTAAAGTAAGACTTATTATTTATAGTAACTAATAAGTAAAAGATCTATAAGATACCTATATAGCTATATTAGTAAGTATGTTATTTAAAATACTTATAGTAATAGCTACTTACTTTAACTTAAAATTACTTTAATATAATATAGTAAATATATTTATTTATACTACTATTAATAAGGTAGTATTTATAGAGATACCTCTAGGCTACTAAATCTCTAGCTAGATCCTCTAGCTACTAAAAGCGCTATATAGGCTTTAGTAATTACTACTGCTATAGTAAAAGCACCTTAAAGAGGGGCTTACTATATAGGGCTTTTACTAAGTACTTAGTAAGAATTACTATTAGAAGAAGGATTATATTATATTCTTTTTTTATATTAATAACTAGATATTAGCCTACTGCTATATAAATAAAGTATAAGTAAGTAATAAGATATTAGCCTTTTAGTAATAATACTACCTTAAAGGTAGAGGCCTATTATAGTAGTTCCTTAGCCTTAAGGTAATTTATAAGTTATTAACTAAGTAATTATCTTATATATAAGTAGTATATTATAATAAAATAGCTAAACTATTACTAATAAATAAATAATATAATAAGTTATTACTTATAGTAAAAGCTAAGCTACTACCTAGTAAATATATAGCCTTATTATAAAAAGTTAATAAATATTAAAAAAGGTAAAGATAATTCTTTATATAGTAGTAATAACCTAGCTAGATATTACTTTTATAGCTAGCTAGCTTACCTACTTTAATTATAATCTAAGTCTAGATTACTAAAGGGCTATAAATTATATACTTAGATATCTTTATTAAATATAGTATATTTACCTTAAATATAAAGTAACGCTAGGTAGTAAGGATAATATATTAGAGGTTACCTTAAATACCTTATTTACTAATAACTTACTAGATTATTATAGCTTATAGGCGTATATACTTAAGCTATTTAGAGGGCTTATCTCCTAGTAAGCTAATAAGTAAAATACTATAATAACGTTAACTACTAAGGCTAAATTACTAGCACTATCTTTTATTATAAAAGAGGCGCTTTTTACTAGTAGATTAATTACTACGCTAGGTATTTAACTATTAACTTAACTAGGAACTAAATTATTACTTAATAAGTAGGTAGCTACTAAATAGCTACTAACTATTTATATTAGCTATAATAATACCTAAACTATTAGGCTTACTACTAAGAAGCTTATTTAACTATAGATAAGGCTATAGTATATAGATATTTATAACTACTAGCTATAGTAAGAAGTAGTAGTAAATTAGATTACTATTAAATATAAGAAGTCTACTAAATTAATAGCTAATAGATTAATAAAGGCGCTTAGTGCGCTATAATTTACTATATTTATAGCTTAATTAAATCTAAGTAACTAGTATATACACCTTAAAGTAAATTAATAGTAAGAATTAGCTAATAATAAAGTAAAGCTTTACTACTAAATAAAGAAAAAAAAACGTATAGGATATTAAAGGATAATTAATAAATAAATAGGCTATATATAGAGGATATTTAGTATAGGCTTTATAGTAATTAATTATATTACTAGTGCTAAGGGGATATATTAAATATAGTAGAATTATATATAAATTAACTAGTAAATATGTAGTTACCTTATAGTAAATTGTTAGGGAATAGGTAGTAAATTAGCCTTACTTTTAGGGTAAGTCTACTAATTATATAGCTAGGATTAGCCTAGGATTTCCTAACTAAGGAATAAGGGGATTTCCTTATTTCTATAGGATCTTACTAAAGTTATATATAATAACATTATATAATTAATTAATAAATAATTATAATCCTTATAATTTAATATAACGTTACTAGTACTGGGTAAAGGTTAATAAATAGTAATAATTTATTAACTAATGTCTAGAGGATTTCAATAAAGATTAAGTAAGGAGTAGCTAAAAATAATAATAATATATTATAAAATTAGACTAGAATTAGTAATACGTATAAAATAGCTAAAAAGCTTCTTTTTAAAATTTAAGTAGAGTATAAATTAACTTTCTAATATAGTCAGCCTATAATTTAACTTATATTCCTTTAACACTTTAATAATACTACCTACTTCTCTAATTAATTTATAAGCTACTATATAACTTTAATATAAAGCTTTTATAGTACTAATAATAAATATATCCCTAAATTTCTACCGTTATATAATAAATTTTATAATCTTTTAGGTAAGTAATATTTAAGATAGCAGAAGAATACTAAGAAAGTGTTAGAGGTTAGAAGGATGTCGCCTATAATAGGCCTGTAATAGGCCTGCACAGCGTTAGAGTTAGGATTACGTAACTATAGAGCCTATATATATAGGCCTAGGAGGATATTTTTATAGGGCTAGATTTCAGCTTCTTATATACCCTTGTTATTAATCTTGTTATTTTAGTCGTCTATCACTCTACACCCCCTTTCTCTAACAGAAAGCTTTAGATAACTAGCCTAATAGTATATTAAGATATTTATAGCTTCCTATAGGTAGATTATGCCTAAGCTAGAGAGCTTAATTAAAAATATATCTTAGACTAAGGACCTAAGACAAGGTAAAGAAATAGTTCTAATACTACTAGGGAGTCTAACTATAGTTAATCCTTAATTAATATTTGTAATAATAGTTATAAACTAGAGAGAGTTTAGTAGTAACTATTCTAATTACTGCCTTTTTTATAAGGTTTATATTAGTGTTCTTCTCTTGTTATTTCTGTTGTACACCTCTGTAAAAAATATAGCTCTTCTCCTATTATTATCTATCTAGTAGGAATCTACTTTAAAACCTAAGTTATAATTTTAACATAACCTAAAGCCCTGCTTTCCTTTACTAGCTTACTAGTAACCTAGGTTAAGTTATTAGATTTAAATACTATAGTAATAACATTATGCAATAAACTACGGCATCTAGTTATTTTTTCAAGAAAAGTAGTTATTCTATTAAGAAACTAGATATAAACTAGAGAAGTAGTAGAAATACCCTTCTTATAAGGTCTATACAGGTGGTACACCACATATGTAGTGGACGCTGCTAGTACTAGCTACACAAAGCTATTTCAGCTTCACAATACATTAGTTTACTTAAACCTTAAACATTAACGCATCTGGCGCAGGGAGAAAGCCTCAATTAAGCAGATAGCCCACAATGCTACAGCCGTCTGTTTTAAACTGTAATCATTTTTAACAAGTCTATAAAAGGTAATGCGGGATGTAGAAATATGTCTACAAAAAGTATTAAAGTTAGAACCATAAATCTATTAGAGTCGTTAATTGTCCGTGAACTCTTGATTAGGAGCGATCAGACAAGCTGATAATGCCCCCCCCCTTGACAACCCGAGAGTACCATGCGCGCTAGCCTATACAGGCTTAAGCTGACAATAAATACAGTTATAGCTAATAGATAAGGGTATAGATAGAGGGAAAAAGTAGAAATAGAGGCAAAAAAACAGGGGTAACAGAGGGAAAAAGTAAAAATAGAGGTAAAAAAATAGGGGTAATAGAGGTAACAGAGGGAAAAAACAGAGGGAAAAAAGGGATAGTCTTGGTCTATCCTAACCTAGAGCGTAGTAAAGGAAGTAGGGTAGGATAGACTATTCTAACCCTCCCTAGCAGAGCTGTTTTAGAATTACCTAAAGAAAAAGTCAGAAAAAGTCAGAAAAAGCTAAGGTTAAACCTATAGCTTTTGGATTATTAGGAGCACTACTTACTGCTAGACTATATAGAGTAAGAAGAATAAAATTTCTTGTTTTTCTTAGACCTATAGACCTTTGTGACATGTGTGCGCGTATCTATTGGTTAGAGCCTTATCACCTACTCCACTGTCAGCTCAACTGTGCACGGGCTAGCGCGCACGGTACTCTCGGGTTGTCAAGGGGGCATTATCAGCTTGTCTGTAGACTCCTTGATTAGCCGGAGCTTGTATCTCTTGAAGTGGTGTCTGCCGACTGACGAAGCTGCCGCGAGACTTCCCAGACCACGCATACTTCTCTTTCATAGACACATCTGATAGCTACTTCACATAAGAGGGGATGGTGATCCCGGGCCCAAGCAGCCATGCCGCATCATCAGGGGTCGTGATTGCGTGGAGGAGTCTCGGGTCTGTCAGCGTTTCTGGACTTCGCCGGACGATGGGATAATCTGAGAAACGGCTGTCTATTCGGCGGCTTCCATTGTTAAACTGAAGCAACTGGGTATCTTAACCCCACTGCTGGTCTGGGGGTGTTCCAGGGTACTGTCGCTGGTGACGACAGAGTCCGAGGAGATGATGAAGGGCGTCGTGACCAGACTTGATGATCTGGGTGAGGGGGCGGATGATACCGGGAGAGTCGGCTCCACGGGCTCTTCGTGGATAGATGACCTGAGCGGCCACGATAGTTTGGCCAAGCACGTGTCCTCGACGTCAATTCCTCCGAGATGGCCAGCAGTAGTTGGCCGTTGGTCGGCGCAGATGGCAGAGAACTCGGTTATTAGATCGACATAGCTGCTTCGAGGAAGGTTGAGCGGGTGTTCGTGTTTGGTGTGATTGAGGTGTCGAAAGTTGTAGGGGCCCGATATCTGCAACTGTCGTCCCGTGGCCGCGCCGTCACCTAAGCCATTCTCTCTTGAAGTCTTGCGGCGGCCGAAGATGTTCTTTCCAAAGAGCTTCACACTCTCTAGGTGGTCTTGAGACCGCATGCTGCTGTATTTTGTTCGTTCAGAAGCACGTCTTGAAGGTGTGATGGTTTCCAGTGTGTATTCCCACGAGCGGTACGAGTTTAGTGAGCGCAGGAGCCCCAGGACGTGGCTATATGATTAATGAGCTTGTCCACGTCTGAAGCCCTCTTCATGTTCTTGCCCATGGCACGAATACCTTCTGGCGATCGTAGTCCACCAAGAGCAGGCTAGAAGAATTCGCTGTTGTCCTGGTGGGTGGCGTTGGGTTGAGAAAGGACGAAAGGTAGGTTGTGATCAGCTGTTGATGGAGGCCGACGGCAGCGGCGGTGCAACATCTTTATTGTCGGCACTGGCCTTCTTCGGCCTGGCTTTTAGGCCAAGTAGTATGGTAGTGGAGCAGTAACCACATCCTGTCAGAGGGCGAAGTTAGGCCAGGCGTCCCCGTCTCAAGGGACCGTCTTCTCTTGCGTATTGTATATGGGTCCCAATACATCGAAGCTTCTCCTTACGCTTCCTTTTCTCTACTTACCTTATTGTTTCTATATTGGACGCCTTGAAACCTCATGCTTCAGAGTTAGAATAGGGGATACAGAACAGAGGTATTGTATGGCTTTTTGTGCTGTTAGCCCACGAGACAACAAAGTTAACTAGGTCTCGCAAGTCCTCCCTGTCGGACACATAGATGCAGAGCACATTCGTCAAACGGTCTGGAGGGGCAGAGAAGGCCGTCAACGGACCCAATGAAGATAAGGTCTAGAAGGGCTATTCGGGGAAACCAACCGAATTTGACGTTTCAAACCAGTGGAATACCTCGGCCGTAATCAACAGAGGCATTTGGTTTCCTCTTGTTACGACCATGAACGGCTGAAGTCACAACGACGACCTCGATACTCGGCTTTTGGGGAAAGATTGGACAAGGGAAATGTTCCACCTCTACCAGCACACCGGTGTCTCTCTTTACTTGACAAAAGAGAACAGAGGGGTTGCAGGCGATACCATGTTTGCCTTGCAGAGAAGTATCTGATAAGATTTTTCGTCGACAAGCATCTCTTCTTGTCCGAAGAAGCCGAGGATATGGTTGTCATTCGAAGACTGAGCCTTGATCTTTTCCCAACAACCTGCAACGACAAATGATTCCTGTTGATGAGCAGTGCTCCCTGGCGTGAGACGAGACATTTTGATCATAGCATCTGCCACAGGCTTCAACATGGCAGTGTCAATTAGGGGCACCATCTCTCGGTGGAGGAGTTATTATTGACACTTTACACTACTCGATTCAGTCGAGTGACTACCTGATTACAGCAAGGCGCTAATCCAGTCTGTCTGACGTCCTACGATGGGATTGACCCGGTGCCCCGTATCAATCATCTCTATTTGGATTAAATTTGGACCGGTCAATCATGTGCTCCTAGGGGACCCTTATCTTACCACCTCATCTTTACACGATGCTCAACCTGTGGCGCAATGGGATCATCGTAACTATCATGGGTATTACTTGGGAGTATTCGATCGTTGCAGAAACTAGGATGCAACGACCGTCCGTGTTGTCGTGACATTCCGGTCATTCGAGAAGAGGAAGGACCCAAAAGACATCTCTCCGAGTTGAAAGAAAATTTAGAAGATGAAGTATCGGTAGAAATATCTCTCGTGATTTCCGCTGTTTCACTTATAAAATCCTGAACACTTTGCTTCCGAGACCAACGTGACTTCCTTAGCAAGCACAAATTGAAAGTCAATCCCGGTCTTGGCTGCAATATGATTCCTCAAGCGCTGACAACAGTGACATGCATCTTGTGTTATAGAGATTTTGGCTTCTGGCCTGCCTTTCTGAACCAAGCACAGCTGTACAAACCTTCTGACCGTTGTAATCAAATCGGAACGTGAAATACTTGTCCAAGTAGAAGGGCATAAGCTGCGCCTCGGCATGACAAGCGTAGTAAAACCCAGGCTTGTCTTTAGGGTCAAAGCTTGTAGTAAGGAAATTAAACCCGATCCACTCCGCAATAGTGAGAGTTCGGGATGCCCAATAGGCGGCGTCAAGCCTTTTAAGGCCTGCTTCTTCGGTCAGGGTTTCAGAGTTCACACCAGACCAGCCGCTTACAGCCAGACAGGGCGCAAAGAGGTCTCCCTAACGTAGAACAGCTGCAGTTTTTTACTAGTAACTAATCTAGTTCCCTAATTCTAACGTAAGAAACAAGATTGTATTACACTCTAGAGATTTATAGAAGAACAAATCAGCAGATTTGTTAAGAGTCCAGGTAGGGTTACCACTAATAACGGTTGGAGACCCAAGCAAAGCACGAATCTCCGCTCTCTCCGCCTTCTTAAGGTATGGATCCTTAACGTAAGAGACATGTCGTTGGTGTCTCTCTTTGTCGTTTTCCGATATCCCAGCGGCGTAATCTGCAGCATTCATGCCTCGTCCGTCTACTAAACATGGATCTGCTCTTGCATCAAATCGGCCCTGATGAGGCCTTGACGTCGCTCCAGACTTAGGGGATGATATTCTTCAACTACCTAGAAAATAACTTGATGGGAATAGTATCTGGCGAGTAAGGCGATGAGTACACCACTCCTGCTGCACAGTATTCCCTTGTAGGCCTTGATCGGTATTCTTACCAGCGTTGGTCGTCACATCAATATGGCAAGCAAATTCGTCCGAATTGAGTTAGCGTACTTGCTGCTGGAGCTCGAGCTTGACTCGCACAGACACGCCCTGCGCTGGCTGGAATTGCACAGCATATCCTTTCGATCCTGACGGGGCTGTCATGTGTATCGATTCGCCTCAGCCACCTACGTTCAATGGGATGATCTGCATGGCCCTCGAGAGGCTCGTCGTTACATTAGGTGTGCTGCTGCACGTTGGCCAATCAGAGGGCCGCAGCCGTCAGCGGGCGCAGCGGCACAGCCTCTCAGGCGTACGTCTGGATGCGCTGGCGGGTGCCTAGAGTGGCCGGGTCCAGCGAGGCATCCTAGGTCGTCTATCACAGGCGAAGCGCCTTGTGTGCGTTGACCTCCTGGGCCACATTGTGACTGCCAACCGCCAACCGCACACCGCGTCGGCCCTCGTCGACCGGAAGTGGGAAAGGAAGAAAGACTGCTCCATAGTGAGAGGCATTAGGAGACCGACAATCGTGAAAGCGCGGTAGCACTTGGAAGTCATGCATCGCGATATTGCCATAGGCTGCTTGGCACTGGCTGAGGTCGGGGAAGGGAGGGCGAGCATATCTGCTCGAGTGCTATGGTTGTTCCTAGCCTGTCTTAACGTCTTTAACACACAAGGTCACAGTGGAACAGATGTACAAGGATTATGGCGTTTCATGTCGCCGCTTCCGTACTACACCATAGAGATACAAGAACTCCATACCACAAATGAAACAAAAGATTCCTAATCCTCGCTCCCTTCGACTCAGTGTTGTCGATCTTCAAGCAGTATCCCCTTGTAGCGGGATGCTAACCGGGCTTCAGCGTCGCATGTACCACAAAACGTTGATCCATGAAATGATACCGACCATGCTTCAGGTCATGTAGTAGCTTCACATCCAGGAAAGTAGCTCGGTCTTCAGAGTTCTTTATGGATTACGTGCAGTGTATATAGATATGTGGCACTGGGCCTAGACTGCTGGCCTTGACCGAAATAGAAAGCTTGGCACCTAGCTACTTTTTTATAATATAGTTATAAGGATTTATTATTACTACTAACTATCCTAGATCCTATTTCTTAAGCTATTCTATAACTGTTATCTAATCTGTATTTATCTAGTACTAACGTTAGGGTTGTTTGTAATTACTACACTTTTCTTTAAAGCACTTTAGATTACTGCAGCCACTAACGTCTAGGTATACTATATAAGTTAAAGCACCTACTTATAGGCCACCCCTATATATAGGCTACTATAAAATATTATTATTATAACTACTACTACTTTATTTAATTAAATATTAACACTGCCTTAATACTATAATAATATAGCTTTCTGCCTTACTATTACGGCTAGTTTCTAGACAGTAGGGTTTCCACTAATAGTAAGCAGAGGTTAGTACTTAGTTAATAGTATTTATCTTTCTTATTGTCTTTATTAATCACCTAGTGATTAATTAAGGCTTAGGGTTATAAGGCAGCTTATATAGCTTTTTGTTAATTAAATTACTAAGGTTAGATACTAAAAGGTATTTAGAGAATATATTATAAGTTAATTACTAAAGAGCTATAGAAGTCTATCCTTAAGTGCGTTATTATAACCTAATAAGTTATAGGCTATATTACCTTACCTAACAGATAGATAATAAGTAGTAGTAATATTTATATAGATAAGAAATAAGGAACAGATAGATAACTTCTTAAAATAAAAGAACTATAGTATAAGTTATATAAAGATAAAGAAGTAATTATAAGATAAGGTAATTACTAGTAATTATAAAAGTAAGCACTTACTAGTATCTACTAAGTACTTACTTTATATAAAGGTAGTAATTACTTATAACTATTAGTTAAAAGAACTATTTTAGAAATAGTTATGACTTATATATAAGATAGACTTAGACGTACTTAAGGACAGGCTTCTATAGCTCTTTAGTAATTAACTTATAATATATTCTCTAAATACCTTTTAGTATTTAACCTTAGTAATTTAATTAATAAGAAGCTATATAAGCTGCCTTATAGCCTTAAGCCTTAACTAATTACTAAGTAATTAATAAGAATAATAAGAAAAATAAATACTATTAACTAAGTACTAACCTCTACTTACTATTAGTAAAAACCTTACTATTTAAAAACTAGCTATAACACTTTAATTACTTTTATTAAGTAAGTTAACCTTAATATTTACTTAATAATATTTTATAATATTTATACTTAAGATAACTTTAACTTCTTTTAGCTCTAGAAAGAACCTAACTACTTTAGCTAGGAGCCTAAATAAGGAAATAAAAAACACTAAAAAGTTAAATAATAAGCTAGACTTACTTAAGGTATATATAATAAGATCTAGTAGTATATAAAATATAAAAATAATAAT